TATATTAATATGTTTTCATTTTTCTTTTTTCATCGACAAATTTTCTCGGAAAATTTTTTCTTTCCCATTTGAACCATCTATTTTTCGTGTTACATTTTCTTTTCTTTTTTTTTTTTTTTAAAATAGCAATGGTGTTGAAATGAAGTGTAATAATAAAATTACAAGAAATAAAATACTGCATTGGAGTAATTGAAAATAAACAGCAGCAAATAAAAGAAAGAAAGAAACAAACTTTTCGAGAAGTCGAAATGCTTTCATCGTATAAAACAAAGCAAACAATAAGATTATTACAGTTGATCCCATTAAATTACCCAGGACTTATCTAAAATTTCAAAAATTTTAAGAAAATTATTTACATTGCTTGAAATTTAACAGCAATACAAAACTTTTATTCCATTTTTTTAAATAATTATTTTGTAATTTTGGTAGTATTGTTCTGCAAAAATGCATTATTTCTTAGCAAATAAATTTCCAAATTCCTTTCTTTACTTATTGAAATGCATACGTAAATAATTTGTTTCTAATTGCCCACCCAAGAAATATTGCAAATTCCCGAAAACTTGTTAGTATTTCGAAAAAAAATCCAACAGAGAAATATCCAAATATTTTTCTTCCATTAAAAGAATGAAATTGTCAGTGGGGAAATATGTTTGAAATTTTGAATCGATAGCATCCTCAAAGCATTCGGATACGATTTTATGAGAAACTGGCAAGCAAAAATAGGACAAATGATGTTTAATATATGAAAATTAAATTTGGTTTATTTAATCAAAGTTTAAATAAATAAGTCAAAGTAAAGTCACTCAATTACACAGCTTCTAGAAAATTGGATAAAACTTTTTTCCTTTTTTTTGAAATCAATAAGTGTTAAATTTTCAATTCCAATGCTTCCATTTTAAAACTAATTCGTTTATTATCAATGAGATTAATTTTTTTCCTTTTCTTTTTCTCTCTTATCTTTAATATATTACTAATTTAATAGTCAATTTCTACAAAACTTCTAATTAAAATAGATTAAAAATATTGATGAAACGAAAATCACAACATACAATAAGATGGCCGTGTTTTTTTTCGTTTCAATTTCACTCATTTTGATTTCAGTTTACTTTTATTAAATAAAATCGAAAATGAAATCAAGTATTCTATTGCTGTAATACCAAGCAAATATGAGTGATTATTTTGCTAATAATATGCTAATTTGGCATTAATTAATAATGCTAATAATGTAATACAAAATTCATCTAAAATATGGTAATGAATTAATTTAGTAATTTCTATGACATTAATTAAGAATGAAGTTAGTGCATATGTGAAAATGATTTGATCAGTTTTTTGATAAATAATCGTTTTGCTTTTTTTTTATTTCAAAATATTTTTTTGGTGATATATATATATATATATATCGTCTAAGCTTCCAAAAAATAGTTACACTAAAATTAGTGAAAAAAAGATGGCAAAAATTAATGTTTATGATCTGTTTTTTTCCAATGTCTATTTTTTTAAGCTGGAAAAATTTGTTTGCAACGCTCAAAATGTTGTAAATGTTGATTAATTAAACGAAATCTGTAAAAATTTTTGATAAATCAAAATGCAAGAAAAATTAATAAATTCAACGATATGAAAATTAGAATATTTCATTTACTCTATAAATGTTCATCATATTATTTACTTGCTAAACAAGAGAATAATGTTTTTTTATTTTTTACTTTAATTTTCCAAGCGAATATCATGTAACTTATTAGTACAAAATGATTTCGGTGAATGTAATTTAGTGATAAAAATACTGTCAATTTAAAATGTGATAAAGAAAAAAAATATTGTGAATTTTTAAATTTATTTAAGTTTTTCTTCATGATTGTTTTTACTGGAACATTTTTGCTTATTAATTAAATGAATATATTCACTGATATTATCATAAAGATTTTCCATCTATTTATACATCATTTTCTACTTTTTCCATTTTTTTAGTTTTCTGAAAATTTTGTAGAAATAATTTGCAAAATATATAAGCAAAAATGTTACAAATAGCATTTGCAATTACAATGCAAAAGAAAAAGTATTTTTTATGATCATTTCTGATTTATTAACAATTTTTTTGCTAATAGCTAATGAACTGTTGAAATTTCGTTAATGAAGGAATGCACCTTTGTTTTACTAATTAATTATCTCTTCACAGCTAGTGATAAAAACAATGCGAAACTGAACATACTAATAATTTAGACTGAAGATAAATTATAAAAATACCTTCCAATTTGTTTATTAACTTCTGAAAAAAAGGAAAAAAAAAACAATTCACTGTAAAAGAAAGTTGAAATTTTATTCGAAATAAATTTTAACATGAATAAAAATTTTCTCATAACATAATGAAAATGTAAATATTTATGAATAATATTCGAGAAAACAATAGCAAATTAGCAGAAAAGTGATCCAGAAAAAGTGGTGATAAATGAATAGTTATCCCCTAAATCATGAGAGAGATAGAGAGGAAGAGAGAAGGAGAGAGAGAGGGAGAAAAGGATGATTATTCGATGCTGCGACCATCATCAATGCTCGAAAAAGGAAGGACAAAAACAGCAATTACTCTGTCTCTTCCAAGTACTTTCCCAATACATCCTTCATCTTTCTGTCCCATTGCCACCTCTTTCCCTCCCTCTCTCTTTCTCTCTCTCTCTCTCTCTCTCTCTCTCAGAAAGAAACTTCCATTAAAGAGATTAAACGATGTCTTCTAAATAATCCGTAATAAAACAAGGAAAATTGTCCCCAACAATCATTATCAATAATGCTTTTATTCACATCAATGAAACATTTATAGCATTTCTTTTTTTTTTTTAATTCTTATCAATTTTTATTGATGAATTTTAACCTTAATCATTCATAAATTCTTAAAACTCAAAATTACTAAATTCTATTTTTTCCTGAAAATGTTAAAATTTTCAAACTATTTGAATGCTTTTCTTAATTCAATAATTTCAAAAATAAAGAAGTAATGATTTATTGTATAATAAATAAATTTTTATCCAATTATTCATTATGAAACAATTATTATCATTTTAATCAAACATCATTTTGGTGGAATTTTATCTTAAATGATTGAATATATTTTCTTGATAAGTTTCAGCTCTATCTTCAATATAATTATTGCGATAATTAATTATAGACTATTAACAATATTAATATTTACCCACAATGATATACATTAAATAGCAAAAAAAGAAAATAATAAACTATTGATGTTTTGATTAATTACTAGGCTACTAATTGAGATAGAACAATTAACAATTGTTAGCAACAATTAACTGAGCAGAACAACAAATTATTAAAACTTCCCATCATCCTTGAAATTTACTTATGTGACACTTGAATTAACTTATGTATAACATCTAACTCTTAAAATGATATATGCACTAATTACTTAATTTAAATAATTAATATTGCCGTAAGAAACAGAAACACATACAAGTAATTTTGCAAGTAATTCAGAGACTCCTCATATGGCGATGAAATCACAATAGCATCAATGGATTGTGCTTTAGTTTTATGTGGGAAATTCCTCATTATTTCTCTTTTTTATCTATTGATCCAAAATTAATTGAGTGTGGAATTGTTTGCTGAAATGGAGAAATCCCGAAAGGAATCGTTCATTCAGATATCATCGATGATTACATATAAGCTCTTATCAGTGATTTATTCACGTCACTTCCAAACTTTTACACTTTCTTCCACACCAAATTTATGATTGTTTATGGTAAATATTATTCAATTATCTGATAGATGTGAATGTTATACCTTATGCAAATGATAGCTTTCTTGCATCGCAGTAAATCATCGAATATTATTGGACAATCAATAATGATGCAGCTTTCATCTTTTGACTTAACATTGTAGCTTTCACATTAATTTTTTTCTTTACTAAACTTCAATTCGTGGTCAAAAAAAGGGGAAGACGTGAATTTACACGTCAAACTCACTTTTGCTATTCATTGCTTTTAGTGTGACGCACGTGTTGCATATTGATCCCATGGAACAATCTTAAAATGCTACGTTAGTAATTAGTGAACTGATGAGATGAGATAGCGTGCTTCGGAAGGATATGACTTTAATGGTAGAGCGATTGAGAGAGCGTGATATTGAGGAGTCGGTAGAGATTGATAAGATTTGTGAGATAGCGTGGGATTTTTCCTCTTCTGGAGGATAATTAATTGCTCGAAAATTGTTACTATAATTAGAGAGAATTGGTGGAATTCTATGATTCAAAAGTTTAAAAGAATAGAATTCGTTAGTGGCAAAGAATAATTTCATTGTTTTTGTTAATTTTTATGGCTAATTTGCTTGCTTAAATATGATGTTCAAGCTATTGCAGGTTCATTTCTTATGAAAAAACTATCAACTTACAAAACATTGTTTAAAAACATGAAATATTGCACCGTATATACGACTGTTGCAAAACGATCATTTACTGAAAATCATGTAACGAAACTATCAAGCAAGCAGTATTCCAATCAGCTATTGCATTTCATTAAGGTATAGTAAATTTTCAAATTTCAGATTCATACGTGTTAGTATCAATGTTCATAACACCATAACATTTACAAGCAATGTCTGCTTGATATAAACCGGAAGAGGTTTATCATTTTCTGCTGTAGTGTAAAGTGTAATAATTTTAAAACGTCATTTTTAGTTCTGAACAATGATTAGATTATTTGATATGTCTGCCAGCGAAGAGAACAAATTCTTACAAATCATTGTAAACTTCATTTGCATTTCTCACGGATATCAATTACCATTAGGTTTTTATGCCCTAAATTTCTAAACAATTCTTAGTTAGTCTATTTTCAGCAAAAAATTAACTTAAATGGACCGATGAGTGTTGCTGATTACATGCGTCTTACAGCTTCATCACCTTTTGGTGGCTATTATTCGCGTCATGGTAGTAAAATATTTGGTGAAAAAGGCGACTTTGTTACTGCTCCCGAACTAACACAAATGTTCGGTGAACTTATCGGTGTATGGTGCTGCTACGAACTCAATAATACCGGTACTCTTTTTGTTTTATGAAATAATATTCATTGATGTTTATAATTTTCTACGATTCACGTGTGGCTGTTTTAGCTATTGTGTGATAACTAAAACAGCCATACGTAAAAAATTATGCTTGAAACATATTGTTCACATTGAAATATGGCAGTGTTATGTTCATCATATTTACTGTTAATTTATCAACAAGAGAATTTTGATGTATTATACCTTCTCTAGTTAGTTTAATTTCAGGTGCTTTCAGGACATAACGAGGAATGGCAGTTAGTGGAAAATGGTCCTGGTACAGGACAGCTGATGTATGATATCACAAGGGCATTAAGACAACTCAGAGTATGCTTTTTAATTTTTTTATATTTTAACTTTTTTACTTTCTAATGTTTGTTGACGTCCATTAATGACAGTTTTTTTTGGGTGACGAAAGGATCTATTCATCTTGTGGAAACATCTGACGCTTTACTGAGTCAGCAGGAATCTCTGCTTTGTGAACAATCATCACATTTCATTGATGGAAAGCCATATGTTCGACATAATGTGACGAAAGATGGTTTTCCGATATACTGGTATCGCAATGTTGATGATATTCCTGCTAAAGTAAATTCTTGTTAATTATTATTTATGTGGTTCATGTAGAACTTCTTGCACTAACCTTACTGACAGAATTGAATGACAATTTTGGTTTAAATAAGTTTTACAGTTTTCTGTATTCATAAGCAACGAGTTTCTGGATGCCTTACCAGTAAATCAATTTAAACGAGATGATGAAGGCAAATGGCACGAAGTATACGTGAATTTGGATAAAGACGACAAACTTTGTTTTATGCTGTCAAGATCGGAAAATTTGCATACTTTGTAAATTTATTCTACTTAATTTCATTAGAAATTGATGGGGCTTTATCGAAGAATGTCTATTTTATGGAAACATTTGACGCTTTGCCTTGAATCAGCGGGAATCTCTGCTTTGTGAACAATCCATCACTGATCATTGATGGAAAAAAAAGGATTTATTTCACGACTTTGAACAGAAAGAACTCTTTGTGTTCAAAGTTCTGGAATAAACCTTTTTTTTCTGCAGCATTTTTATGTGAACTATAATGAGTATATTATAGTGGTTTATTACCGAAAAAAATTCGTGAGGATTCATCAATCAAAGAATGGGAGATCAGCATTGGCGCTGGTACTTACGTCAATCAGGTAGATTAATGTTAATAATTGTTACAATTGTAACAAAATTTTCTAGCGCTGACGATTAAGAATTTTGTTATGTTTGGCACGTTCAGGTCGCTGATAGTATTACGAAATTTGGTGGTTTTGTGTTGATAATAGATTATGGGCATGATGGTACAAGAAAGGATTTATCTCTGCGAGCCTATAAAGATCATCAAATTGTACATCCTCTGGAAAATCCTGGAGAACATGATATAACTGCTGATGTCAATTTTGGATATTTGAAGAGTCTCATCAAAGACCGAACACTGGTTTTTGGGCCAATTGAACAGCGGTACATTGTCGTTCTGTTATTTTCAAAAATTTTATAAAAAATTTTTGTTCTGGCATTACCGTTGTTGACTGAAGAATGATTTCATTTAGAATGTACTCATAGCAATGGGCAGTGCATTTGACGATCACTGCTAAGTAGGGCTTTTATACGAAATCCATTTCAATCAATAATATGATTGTCAATAATTTTAGAGAATTTCTTGCTCAAATGGGAATTGGATTAAGGCTGGAAAAACTATTGGCAAGTTGTAAAACAAAGGAAGAAAAAAAAAATTTATTGAGATCATGTGAAATGTTGCTGAGTGAAAAAGGTATGGGTGAGCGGTTCAAAGTAATGAGTATATTTCCTAAAACATTAGAAAGTATCTTAAGTCAACGTAGAGGGCCGGCCGGTTTTGCGGGTGCATGAACTTTTTGACTGATTGTTTAAAATGTCTCTCATGCCTTTTTCACTGTTTTCTTAAAATATTCTTTTTGAACCTAATATATAATAAGTGCAGTATTGTTCAAATCATTATAGTTTTAAGCTGTTGATGAATTTTGTTTTCCGTTTTTCATTTTATTATCGAAAACGATAAAGCTGTGTTAAATATTCATAAGAAAGTTGTAAGAATGTAGGATTTTTCTTGTCATAATTTCTTGAAATCCAATAAATCGTTCTAGTATTAAAATAAATTTTTTCAAATTTGTGTTTTTCAATGTATTTGTCTGTGCAGTATATAACTACAGATATATCATTGGAGTTCTTATATTTAAATATTTGAAAATACTTTAATGATGAAGAAGTGAATGTAAACATAAACTTACTCATCATTGCAGCTTCCTTATTACTGCTGCTTATAAGCCTACTCTTTCCTCGCTTGTTGTTATTTAAAGTGGTATACTGTAAAGCTGTTAGCATCTCCATATCACTCTTATAAATCATTTCTGGCCTCACTATCTTGATCTTTTTTGTTTTCCTTTGTTCCTTTTCGTAGTGTTTAACAGGCAAGATTTATGGTATGCATGCATATCAAATATCAGTGAATTTGCTTTTTCAGTCAGCAGATAGAATTTTTTTCCATGACTTTCAGAAGTTGGAAATTTCAGTTGAAAAAATCCTATGAAATATTTTCTGTAGTAATTACTGAAAGTGCTGCATGATAAATGAAGGAAAAAAAATATTGCGGATGTCAAACATATGATATTTAGATGAGACATCATTGTTAATGAAGATTGATTTGAACTTTTAACTTATTGCAGCAATTTTTTATCTCGAAATTTCTCTATTCCCTCTCCTTTAAATATATGAGGAGAAACAAATCCTTATTGTCAAATTTCCTAAATGAAATCAATTGACGACTGGATAATAAAGTGATATCTTTCATCCAATCTTAATTTCTCTGTTGATGGAGTAGATTGTTTTTGAAAAAAAAAAATTTAAAATAGTCGTTTCTGAACAACGTTTTGATATTTTTCAGGACATGCAATTACAAAATTCATCCCCATTTAGTGCTTAAAGTTATTTTGAAATATTGCAAATTTTTACTAGCTAAGAAAGAATCGGCAATTATCATCGGTTAATATAGATTACTGTGGAATTATAGTTATTGTGTGTGGAAAGGACAATTGACATCAGTAGCATACCTTTCCAGTAATATCTATCTCACTTATGAATATCAAGTAAAATGGAAGTATTGTTAGGTGAAGGAGAGTATTTGTATCTTTTTTAATTCTCATGATGATGATGATGATGATGATGATGAGTGGCAAATTGGCTTAGAAATCTATAATGGTAATAATAATTCATTAGATTTTACTATTGGCTAATATTGAACCAATAACCGTTTATGAATATTTATATTAAATGTGCAAAATCGCAATGAATCACTTTTCCAATTACTTCGATCAGTTGTAAGCATGTTTCAAATTTTTATTCAGAAAAATTTCCATATTGTCTTGCTGTTAGCAGAATAGATGAAATCCATCAACTATGACATGATTTTCACGGAATTCAAAGAAGCAGAAATGAAAGTTAAAGGTCTGAAAAAGCTGATTATCTAATTATCAGTACCGTTGGCATTAAAATTTCTTTTTTTTAAAAAATGCTTTTCAAATAATTTGTTCTTCATTTACAAAGTTTCGAATTTCTGACATCATACATAGATGTCTGGAAGGTAGTTTGTAATGGCAGCAAATGTTCATAATGAAGTGGTTTATGATGATAGGCAATGAATGACTGGGTATGATAAATTGATAAATGAATATTAAAACGCGAAATGTATACAGCGAGTAACAAAATTTGTATTTCTTTTTTCCTTACAAGATACAATAACAAGAATGAAATGTGATAACACGAAATGTTGCAGCTCCATACAGATATCATCTGAAAAAATGTTACTAAATGATAAAACGAAGCAGAAGCACTGTACAATATATTCTACCAGTTTTGAAATTTCGTAATTCAACTACAAGCATTGGTAAATTAATAGCTGATAAAGTGAAACGGCGGTTCACATAAGTCTGCACTGGAAGGCTAGTATAGGACGTATCGCTGCGCCATAACACGAACATTGCAACAATATTCAAAAAAAAAACTGATATTTCAATTTGAAGAACAAACATATGGTAAAAAGGATAATAGTTTCTGAAATTTTCAAAGATGAATAAGACATTTCGAGAAATGGATTTAATTTAAGTTTACAAATCATAAGTTAAAATGCTTACAATAAAAAATAATTACTAAGTAACTTTAATTATGGATGGGTACTGAAAAAAATAAAAAAAATGTTGAAGCAAAGTTGCTGTCTCGCAGTTCGAAATTAAATTTTAAAACAAATTCTTAAAAAAATGGCTAGTCATTTCAAAAAAGTTCAACCTAGCTGCTACTTTTGTTTAAGTACAAACAGTTTCACTTGTGATTATTGCAATTTTGCTCAAAAATTAAATAATGTAGATGCAAAAACAGAACAACTGTTTACGAAAGTATAATTTAAAAGAAATTCCAGAGAATAACCACGATTAGATAACAAAACACATCAAAGACAGAGCTTGAAAGAACAATATATTATTGCTAGCTGCATGACAAAACCAGAATAATTAAAATTATTTGGAAAAACTATGAATGACGTCTTTGAGGTTGATGATCAAAATTCGAATATCTAGATGCTTAATCCAAATTTTATACTGCATAATATTTTAAAGTTTTTCATTTCGTATTTTAACACAAAGTCTAAACAAAGATTAATAATCTTAGAGAAAAATCTGTAGGGCTAAACTCTGAATAAACATATTTGATGGGAGATAAAAAAACAAAAGTACAAAAGTATGAAAAATTCACTTCAAACATGCATATAGTCAATGACAAGCAAATACTGAGATTCGATACTGACGCGCATACCTATCGTTTGAAAACAAAAATCCCTTGAGTTATTTCCACTGCTTACATATGTACTGAAGCACTATATCGAACATGACTTGATGGCATATGCCACCTCGAAGGACGATACTGAAACATTATTTACGGAAGTATGCGCCAAGTTGCAATGAAAAATCATTGAAATTAGCGGTATCTTCTCAAAATTAATTAAAATTTTCTGTAACACAAATAGGAACTATCTCTCTTTTCTTACTATCATCTTCATGAGATTTTTTAAAAACAAAAAATTAAAATTTACCCTTATCAGTAATTGGCCTGATGGTGTGTGGGGATTGAAATATGCGTATGAGGCCCAACTTGCCAGCACTACAACACCAACTATGACAACAAATATCGAGACGAGTCCGCTATTAGAACGACCTAATACATCTATAAAACGGTTTAGTTTCACCACATATTTTAACAACAGTTGTAACTACATCAATTTATTTAGATTTCGACCATAATGAATCAAAAATTGTAAATACATATAAAATTACCTTGGTTATCTTTAGCTATTTCTGGAACTTTGATTTTTTTTTCACGATCCCATGCAACCACTTCATCCGGTTCTGACGGTGATGCTGTTACTCGTGCTTTTCCTGCAAACGGAACAGATCGTCTTGCAATTTCTTTGACTTCTATCAAACGCTATTTTGCTTATTAATATTACAATTGATTATTTTATATGGGTACCAAAAAAAATTGCAACATAATTGCGTTCATAATAAGTATTAGTACTGAAATAAAAACAGAACAAAAACGTCATGAAAAGAAAAGAAATACAAAAAATAAAAATTCCACTTGTTTTTTTTAATAAGCAACGATTCTATAAAAAATATTTAACTGCTATGAAATAAATACAACTAAAACAGGCTAAAAAGGCTAAACACGACGATTTCAGAGACGTTGAAGTTGCAGTTATTAACTTTGATTATTATTTGTTTAAAAATACCAGATGCATCCCGAATGTCGTCTTCATCATCGATTTCATTGAAATCTTCATCTGCACTACAATAAGTCACTTTACCGTTATCTTTGCAATTCCCTTCAATCCAGTGCTGTCGACGTCTATGTAATCTGAAAATACATAATGTTACACATCTTCTTTACAGATTTCGAATTAGAAATCTTTATTCATGCAAAAAAGCAAAAAAGTTTACCCAGCTTGGTCAGAGCAGAAAGGTCCGCCGTGTTTCGCTTTCGAATGACACCAAGAACAGTTAAAATGTTTTAAAGTTGCATTGGAACATTCTTCACAATTCTGATACTGTATGCATGCTGGAATATGAAGTGCTTTCTATGATATAAAAGTAAACTGACCAGAAAACTTGTGCAAAAATTGTTCTTACTTGGTTGAGCTTTCAGTAGAACGATAGTATTTGATACAATCAATGATGGTTTCACTTCAATGCGATGATATTCGTAAATAACTCGTTTTATCGATGCTGCAAAAAAAAAAGAAAGGCGATGTGGATTCATATTTTGAAAGGAAAAACATTTTTAATCACTTTACGATATATAAGGCAAGAAATTAAAAAAAATTACTTACGAGGCTGCGAAATAGGTGCAAGAGGATTATGCACGCTGTGATGGAAAAGATACGCATCGCTCATCCCTATTTTTACTGGGTGATGAGAGTCACTGATATTTGTTACAGGTATTGGTACCTAAAATACCGCTTACAAGCATATGAAAGCAAAATAAGGCGCTATCACCAAGCATGAAAAACGTCATAAAAAGGAAAGACTTTTTTCAAATCAATATATTTACTGCTGTTTGTACTTACTGCTTACCAATGTTAGTTTAATACTGATCAGAATATACGATTCTATCAATGCTTACATCTTTATAGACGAACCAAATATCTCCATTCTTATGCAGAGATCCTTGAAAAGTGAAGAAGCCGTCTGAAAATATGAATAATGATCACCTAACAAAATTTCACACTCAACTTTGATGCTCGAATGTTCGACTGTATTTACCACATAAAAAATTCCAGAAAACGAGCACAATTCGAAAAGATTACGCACATTCATAACATCGTCCAATGACATTTACCTCTCCTAATACAAATACTGAGAGGTAAGTATCACTGGAAGATGTTGTCAGTGTTT